AATTGCCCACACAAATTTTCTGAATTTTTCGAAGTTTAAGTTTTGATATCATGATTATTATTTTTCCAAAGCATCTTTTAACTAATAAAATTATTAAAGTATCTTTTCATTGTTCTTAAAAAATGCTAACTAAACTAATAAACAAAAAAGGACAAATAAACTGCTGATTAAGCATTTGCTCTTTTTCTAGCGATTTTTTTGTTTATTTTTTCAAAGTCCAAATAAAACCTTCGAAAATGCTACCCTCATTAAAAAAATATTTTCTTTTGTTTTCAATCATCTTTTGTATTTTTCTATTTATATATTTTATTTCTACTGATTATTTTTGTTTAATTTATCATCTTTCTATAATGCTGATGCAAACACAAAATGAAGGAAATTGGTATTTTTTGCCCTTTATTTTTGAACATCTTATTTATAGAAAATTGTTTGGCCAAAATTATTTTTTAAGCAACCTACTATTTTTAGTTTTCATTTTAAAACCGCGATTTTAAGTTTAATATTTTAAAAACAAACAAAGCTAACTAAACTTAGGTTATATAAATTAATTCGTTTTGTGTTTGACTATGAGAAAAGTGTTTTACATGGGAGGAGGGGGTTCGTAGGCTTGAAGAGCAGCTATTTTTTATACATTTACTTTAACCAAAATATTTTATAAAAAAAGCATAAAACATACTTTATGTAGATATTTGTAGCTAAAAACATATTTACTAACTAGAGTATGAAAAGCTTATTTACTATCATGTGGTTATTTATTTTTGTGCTTTTTATTTTCGAAATTGTTTAGCTTTTTAAATAAAAACAAAATAGTGATGCAATGAAAAAAACGAATGCTATGTAGTTATTCTTAACGGAAGCGGATTTCGAAATTATTTCTTGCATTTTATTTATTTTGTTTTTTCCCCAAGAATTAAAATTATATATTTTTAGTTTTTAATTTAAACTATTTATTTGCCGTTCTTTTTAATCATTTAATTGAATTAATTGCTATTTATTGAATTAAACTTTTCATTTCTCTCCTCTTGTGTTAGATCTGATATAAGTAGATATATTTTACTTTTGATCGAGTTTGCTAATTATACTTAGAAACGAAAAAGAAAAAAAGAAGAAATTTTGTCTTGTGATTAAAATGTGTGGTGCTTAAAAGTTGGCTTTTTGACTTTTGCTCCACACACCCATGGCCTTGCTGAATATATTTTTTTCTTTTTCTATCTTTTTTTCTTGTTTCTTACTTTAATCCATCTTATTGAAGATTTTTTTTCTATTTTTTCAAATTATATTTTTCTCGACATTTTTCTTTAAAATAATTTTCTATTAGCGCACTAACTTCTTAAATATTTATTATTATTTTTGCTGATTCAAGAACCCTTCCTTCTTCTTTTTAAGCATCTGGTTTTCTGTTTGGGAAATAAAAATATATGTTATGGAACACAGCCATTCATTCTCATTTTTATCCTTTTAGTCTTTAGCCTTTTATTTTTTAACAAATTTTGTTAGAACTTTGGGGGGAATAATTGGTGTGAATAAAATGAATAATACTTGTAGTAGATTGATAGTTTTTAGAAATTTTTTATCAAAGTGTTTCTACATATTCTAAAAATATTAACACATAAATTACAAACTTTTTATCATTTTATTTCCTAATTAAATAGTAAATTTTATTTTTGTATATTTGACGTTCATTCGTCGTTTTTTTTACAAACCCCTTACCAAATATGCAAAGACTAGAAACTGGAATTTCATTTTTATTTTTCTTAAAAAATTTTGTAAATTGTTGAATGGCTAAAATTTTAAAAGTTAAATTTTTTTTTCTTAAACTTTTTCCATTTCTTCCTAATTTTTGTTATATTTAGCGTTAATCTCATCCTTCAAGATATCCAAAATCATTAATATATTTCCGTTTTTATTGATTCTTTTTAAAATTTTAGCTGTTGTCCTGATATTCTTTTTTCTTTTCTTAAAACTAAAATTATTTCTAGACAGAAAATCCTCAATGTTTTCACTCTCTGAGGTCTATTTTATACTAGTAAAACAACTAAGCACAACTGTTATAAATTTGCTAATAGGATTTATAAAATTGGTCTTAGGAACTAGGCTTATGCTATTCATTTCCCGTCAGTACTTTTATTCTTCTGTTCAATGAATACTTTTATAATTTATACTTTCTGGGGGCAAGCATCCGGAGAAATAAACAAAGCAAAAGTGCAAATCATTGAAAAAATAAAGCTTTTTTTCAACATGTGATTTTTTAAAATAAGTAGTTGACAACCTTTCCGCTTTTTCTCTTTGTTTTTTGTAAGCAAAAAATCTTTTATCTCTATTTTGTTGAAATTTTTAAAAAGTCAGTCAAAACAATTTTTTATCAGTCTTTTAATTTTTTGCTTGCCTCCTTTTTCCGTTTCTCGACTGATTTTTAATTAATTTTCAGGACATTAAATTTCTTTTAGTGACAGGCTGTGCCTTCCCCGGATTTTTTAAAAAATTTTACTAGTTTAGAAACTAAATAGTTTGGTTAAAAATTATTAAAAAGAATTTCAAGACACGTGACTATTAACAGTAATAGACTGAACAAATAAAAGTGTTAAAAATTTTGTTCCTGGTTTTTCGGAAGTATATTCTAATCTTTTAAATTTTAATTTCCTAGTTAATTTTTCATTGATTAATCTTTTTTTATTCGAATTATACTGAAACTCTGCGCCTTCCAAATAAATATTAATGCACCTGATTTGCATGCACCCATTCCATGCAAATCATTCCACCTTTTTTTCTTAAGAGGGCGTATTTTAATAACATTTATAAATAGTGCTATTCGTTCATTTATTAATTCTCATTCTTTAATTCTAAATTTAATATTTTTTCTCATGTTTGTCCACAAATCTTTTCTTCATTCCATGCCTTTTTTACTTTTTTTAGAATTATTTTATAATTTTTGGGTACACCTCAGTTCAGTCCCCCATACTTATAAAGGGGTGGATAAAGTTTAGTACCATTGGATAGATAGGGTCGGGACTGAACTGCTCCAATAATTTTTTATCAACACATGAACATTGATTTTATAAGATAAATGTCGGCATTTATTTTTGTGCTAACCGTTACTATTAGATGATGAATGAAATGACCAAACCTCCCTCCATTTTTCTCTTATTTTCTCTACATTCATTCACCTTGCCATTCTGCATATTTTATTTTTATTTATTTAATATTTATTTATGTCCTTCATAATTCTTTTTTATATAACGTTGGGTTCTTTCTGCACCAAACTCGGTGTCAATGTTTTTGTATAGGCAAAATCCGATATAAAAATGATAAAATCATCTATTGTAATAGCCTTGAGAAAAAAAAAGTTATATAGTTTTTGTTCTCCTACAATATTTTTGTCCACCTCCCGTCTAAATATTTAGAGACAAACTTGCGAAAATTTTCCCGGGAGTATTGTTAAGTTCTAATGTCTTAAATTATTTATCCGTTCTCATTGTTATCCTTCGACTAACACAAAATGCGCATTTTCGATTTACTCATGTATAATTTTTAAATTAATTTCCTTTCACACGTAGGTGTTTAAAATTCTTCAAACATTCCCTTAACTAAATATTTTCTCGCCAAGGACGTTTACACAGCTTTTTCATTTTCAGATATACAGTCGTGGAAAAAAGTATGGAAGCGCTAGAAAATTTTTTCTTATTTCTTAATTTTTCATACAAAAAATACGTTCTATATACCAATCGAAAGCTCTATTCGTATCTCAGTTGACATGTTTCTCATTTTTCATGAAAATGAAAATTGGCCGAGATAATCCGGATCTACCGGATATACCAAATCCCAATTTTTCGGAAAATTTTTTCGGAACAAATTTAACAAACCCAAATGATAAAGCATATTTTTCTGAGTATTTTCCACAAAACCGCTTAGAAATATCTTTCTCCGGAGCAGAGATATGATTTTTTGAAAATGGCATTTTTCGTCTATTTTTGCAAAAAATTCAATTTTTAAGCGAAAAATGCGATTTTCAAAAAATCATATCTCTGGACCGGAAAAAGATATTTCTAAGCGGTTTTGTGGAAAATACTCAGAAAAATATGCTTTATCATTTGGGTTTGTTAAATTTGTTCCGAAAAATTTTTCCGAAAAAGTGGGATTTGGTATATCCGGTAGATCCGGATTATCTCGGCCAATTTTCATTTTCATGAAAAATGCAGAAACATGTCAACTGAGATACGAATAGAGCTTTCGATTGGTATATAGAACGTATTTTTTGTATGAAAAATTAAGAAATAAGAAAAAATTTTCTAGCGCTTCCATACTTTTTTCCACGACTGTACCTATACTATTTCAATATTTAGGCTTTCCTCGTTTTTCTTTTAATATTTATATTTTTGTTATTAATTGCCCATTTAATAATAATTATTATTATCAAAAATAATTGGTAAAATAAATTAATTTTTCCCCGCGTGTCACCTGATATACATATTTTCGCGAAATACATTAAAAAATAAGAAAATTCAAAACATGCACTAAAAATTATAAAAATAGTTGGGGGTATTAAATTGGAGAGAAAATTTTGGAATTTTTTGAAGAAAAGAAAATTTGCTCTAGTATTTTATTTTTGAATATTTTAAATGAATTTTTGAATAATTAAAATAGTGTTCGAAATGTTTGATTCGTTATAATTCGTCATTTTTTTTGATAAATGGCGGCGATTAAATTAGTTTAAAAAAATTCTCTCCCTAAAATTTTTATTTTTTACTGTAAATGTGTGTTTATTCACGTGTTCACTACTTTTTCTGGTGCAAAAAATAACATGCGATACGCAATGAATCTTTTTTGCACGTCGACCGACTATTTTAATCTGCCAAAATAACGTTAAGGGGTGAAGGGACAGTGGTTCTTAAAAAAGAATGCAGCAGCAATATTTAATTTTTTTATCTTTTTTTTGTTTACTGTTTATATTTTTTGGGGTATTTTCGAAAGAAAAAGAATTGTTGATAAAAAAAGAGAATCGGTTGTTGCTCACGGGGACAGCTGCTCATTGATGTGTTTATTAGTAAAAAAAGTGGTTGTTTTGTTTTTTTATAAATATTTTGGTACAAGTAGTGCAAATAACAAGAACGCGTTCATTTTTTCTTTTTTTTTTATTTTTATTTCTAAGCGGATATTTATTCTCTTTTTTTCTGTTTTAATTAAAAAGCTGTTGGGTTCTTATTTAATTAGATTAGTATCATTTAATAAGCACTTTATTTTTTATCTGCACGAATACATAATTTTTGATGCTTTACTTAATTTTATTTATTTTAAACTAACAATTCACATACATACTTTTTTAAAATACTTCCTGTTTGTTAGTAAATAATCTAAATATTTTTGTTGTTTATCTTTTATTTTTTTAAATTTTTTTCAAAATTTTTACACTTATGTATCATTTCTGCATTCTGATATTTAATTTCTTTAGATTTTAATAAATCATTTAATTCCAAGTTTCATTTAAAATTCCTAAATCTATTAAATTTGGAACATTAATTTTTAATTTTTATTAGGTATACTTCCTTATCTCTAATAATAAATTTTGTGTAGTTGATATAAGATTGGGCCATATAACCCCTTACTTTTTATTAATTATTTAAATAAAAAAAAGTCATAAAAACTGTCCGGCCAAATTCTCTCTTGACTATAATTTTTCGGTTAATAAAAAACGAGTTGTAATTTTGATCTAGTATTTTTATTTATGTAGCTGTCCCCTCCGTCTACATATGAATTTCCTTTTTCTCGTCTGATTTATTAAAACGGTTTTTTTATGATACTCTCAGTTTAAATACAAAATTTTTTAAAACTTTATTTTTATTTTCTCAGTATCACAAGACTTTTTTTTTATCCTTCATCCATCTAATATTTTTTTATATTTTTAAAAACGATAGACTTTTGTCTTTCTCCTTCCGCGCGTTGTTGTGGGTTTTCTATTATTGATGGGTTAAATTTGGTAGAAAAATTATCGCGTTGGATGGGGGGACAAATAGCGGGGATATTAAAAAGAGAAAATATATTTTGTGTTGTTGCTCCTGTCAATTTTAATTATAAAAATGACCAATCATAAAAATAATCAGTGGCGCGGCCTTAAAAATAATAATAATCAACAACACTTTATTTTCAATAATTTTTGTTATTATCAAAATCACTGCCTCCCCAAACATGAATTTTTTTGAATATCTCTAAAAATGTCCGTGAATGTACGCAAACCCTTGCGCCTTTTTTTAAATATAAAATTAATAATGGAAAAAATTATATATCGTGCGAATTAATAAAACAATTGATGCGCAGACAAATAAATGATCGCTTAAGACAGGGCTCTCATTCGTGCTTTATTTGAAAGTATTATACTTTGAAACCGACCTCCATACTTAAGAAATTGAATTTATACTTTATTGAAAGTATATACTTTAAAATCAACATTTTGGATTGAAAATGAAATTGGGGAAGGGATTGGGCAAAAAAGTGAATTTTTTTAGCCTTGGGCCTTCGAAATTATCAAAATTTTCGCCTGCGGCGCTGAAAAAGAAAGAAATCTGGCTTCTTGGGCTCCAAATTTCAAAAAATTTTCGCCTGCGGCGCTGAAAATGGGAGAAATCTGACTACTTGGGCTCCAAATTTCAAAAAATTTTCGCCTGCGGCGCTGAAAATGGACGAAAGCTTGAGGTTAAGACTGTCAGGGCTTTATTTCTTGTATCAGCGAATTTTGACATGTCATGCGTTGAAATGCACAAAATGCCCAATGGAAGCAAGAAATTATTAGAAAAGATTCATTTAAGAGAGAAATATAAAAGATTTGAGCACGAACAAATATTTTCCAATTTAATTTTGAGTATACTTTAAATTTGGAAATTTTCTCCCTATATACTTTTTTATCAAGATTTTGATACTTTTGAGTGGCATTTTGTCGATGAGAGCCCTGGCTTAAGATATAATAATTTCTTTGAATAAATTTTATTTTTATCTCACAACAATGATTTTAATAAATGGAAGATTTTTTCTTTTCTATTTTTTAAAAAAGATTTTTTAAATTAATTTTTAGATTAGCAATTAAAATTTTTTTATTTTTATTTTATCAAATATCTCTTTAATTTTCTCCAATTTTATTTTTTCTTTTATTTTACTAATTTGCTTCTAATCGGTCAAATTCATTTACAAAATTTTTTTTATCTTCTTTCTAATCGGTCATTTTTTATAAATTTATTTTTTTTATTTGTCTCGAGACTGTTAATTTTGTTTATCTTAAAGAGACTACCTAAAAAATATTTTAGTTAAAAAGAAAAATATTTTTATTGGAGTTGGCTGGCTTTTTTTATTTATTTAGTTTCCACCCATTTCAACAACTAAAAGTCATGATTTTTTCACGTATTTTTCACCGAACATGTTAATTTCTCTCTCGTAACCTCTCTTTTATTGATGTTAATGCAATTTATATTTTTTTATCACTCCAAATTAGTTTATTTTCAGCACAAGACCTTAAACATTTATTTTGCTAAAATAATTTAGTAGGTATAAAATGCTTGTAAAATTTTTATTAAATTTCAGTTTGATTTAAACAAATCATTATTTGAATAATTAGCAGTGCTGGGTATTGAGCATTTTGTAGCCTCGGCTTCGACCATTTTCAAACCTTGACATTTTAAATTTTGGCTTCAGCTTTTGAGCTAACTCCTCATGGAGCCAGCCATACCCCCATCACTGATAATTAATTTAGGTATGCTTTTCTTTTTCCCATATTTGTTCTTGAGATTTCATCTATTAAGATTGAGATTTCATCTATTCATTTATCTTTAAGTTAGAAACATCCTCAAATTTCAAGTCTTGATTAGTTTTTTTCAAATAAATTATCCACACCTTTCTTCGTTCTTGCTATTAATTTCCCAACATTAAATCTTTTAAACACCTTTTTGTGATACTATTTTTGCTTCACAAAAATAAAATATAAATTATTCTATCTCTACTATTTAATCATTTTGCTTTTCGACCAACGGTTGGTTTTTCTTCATTAAATTCTCAACCATTACTGCCGGGTGTGTGTTTGTACGTTCACTAGTCGATTATGGTTGGGGCAAATTTATTACTACAACTTTTTTTTCTTTCTATTAAACTTAACTTTTCCACGTGAATTTAATGAGGTTTTTTCCGTTCAATTTTTTATCAAAAAAAAGTACAGGAAAAAAGTCTTTGACACAATCCTAATCTTTTTTTTTTCTTGGGAGTTTTTATTAATTACCTTTATAAAAAACCAATTGTTCACAGTTTAATTAGTTCTTCATTTTTAATGTTCTACATTTAAACTCTCAAATATGTATACTTCCTTTTTTAATTAAATACTTTTAATAATTTATTATTACTTTTGTTTTATTCCTTTACAGTTTTTTATCTTCATAGAATTTTTCTTAGATTTTATATTTTTTTTTGGCTTTTGGCTTTCATTTTTCTTCACTTTCCTTAAAATTAAAAATTTTTCAGTTCTTATTGTTGTTATTCTATTCACGTTTATTTTTTATAATTCTCATATGTTTTAAATTAAAATTTATTTTAAGTTTTGATATTTTATGACTAATTTCATTTATTTCTGTGTATTTTTAATTAATTTTTGGCAACAATACTTGGGGAAAACTAAACAAATTTTCAATTTCAATAGAAAACATGTGGTTTTCCTTATATAAAAATTAATATTTAACCAGACACATTTCACAAAATAATGTGTGTCATTTCAACGTTGATTTCAGGACCTAAGGCCACTGGGTCTTGGATATACACTCTATTGAAAAAAAGCTTTTAAGTTTTGAACTAACGTAAACACGTAAAAGGTTATTTTTGTCACCACATTCCCGTCTTCCCCTTTTAAGTTAACCTCTATAAATTTCACATAATTTCGATACCAAAAACTTGTTTTTAATATTCTAAATTCAGCAAGCAAATCGTGTTTCCCATATTTTTATCACATGTCTTAAAAATTCCTCTTTTCTCTCTCTGTTAAGAATCGAAAAATATTTTTGTTTTGTTAATACTGATAATTTTTGATATTTTTTTCTGTTTATAAACACAAATTAGATAGGCCCATTTATTGTAAACAGAGGGAATAAGAAATTTTTATTTTTACAAAAAAAGGAGCTGTACTCTGACGGCTCCTTTACTTTTTTACCAAATTTTTAAATATTTTGATCATAAAAAATTTGAAAATTTTGTTTTGATAAGAAATTTATTTGAAGAATTTATTTTAGGTAAATTTTCTGCAAAATATTTTTTAAGATTATTAAGAATATTTCTGGCTTTGGAAAAAAGTTTGGACCGAATTTAGGTAAAAGTTAAGCGCGCATTACTCATTTTCTCCTCATTTCCTCATTTTCTTTTTATTTTTTTTGCTTCTCACATAAATTATATTTGTCTATATTTATTTATTTTTATTGGCCAACAACATGTCTCATCCATCTGTAAAAATACATTCAAAAATTTATTGCGAAATTTTCCTCATTTTTATTTATTTTTAGAAAGATTCGATTAGACTTGCGATATTTTTAACAATCTTGTTTGTCTAAATCCTCAAACTTTTTTTCTATTAAATTTTTAAAGATTTACGTCAGACTTAGGCAACTAAATTTTAAAATTTTTTGCTATTTTCCTCTTAAATTTTTTAAGGTTTTTTGCTAAAATATCACCCTTACCATCCGTTTCCTTCTTCCGTTTCTGGAAGAGAAACCAAAAAAATTTTTATTTTAATGTTGTTTTATTTTTGTTTTGATTTGTTGCTAAATTCTGCAACAAAATAATTTTCATAATAATTTTTTATCAACCTAAAAAACCCCTAAAAAATATTTTTATTATTATTTATAGCGTCTTTGTACGTCTTGTGTAAAAATAAATGGAAATGTCGCCTCGCAGCACTCAATTAATCAATTATCGACCATTAATCGAACCTTTTAAACATGATATAAATTCACCAACAATAACAACAAACTCAATACCTATTGCTCAAGGAGGAAGAAATAACAACAATCAACAACAAAATAATTTATTTCATTCATTTTCGACACCTTTGACAAGCGGATTTTTGGAACATTTTTGTGCTCTTCATTTAATTCCTTCATCAATAAATAGTTTTGTAGATAAAAATGATTGTAATAGGAACAACAATGGAAGCCGAAATTTTGTATGTTTTTAATCTATTTTATTAATTTGTAGCACAGTTGTTGGACACCACTATAAAATACACCTCTTGCCCAACACAACTAGATACGATTTCTTAAGATTTGGTTGGCTAATAGGTTGAGAGAACTGCATAAGCGATACCCCTTTATTCAAAATACACCTCATTATAAGGAACTAGGGTTGTCGGTTCGGTTGACGGAGACCGATGATTTTTTGATTCTGTTCTTCGGTTCGGTTCCGGATATCCGAAGGTTCTCCAAGAACCGACAACCTTATAAGAGACAATTTTACAGAGAGGTCCAACATTTCAACACTTAAAAAAAATTTTTTTTTCATAACAATTCTTTTATTAATTTTCAGGTTCGTTCAAAATCCGACTCTGCTGCATTAGATTTAGTTGTAGAAAAACTTAGACCGAAATATATTCCATTCACTTCTCCATTTGTATGTTTGAGTCTACCAAAACTTTTTAAAAATTATTTTTGAAGGCAAGTGTTGATTCAATTTGTAGTCTTCTGACCAAGAATGAAACAACAAAACAATTTATTCAACCTTCTGTTGATGTTGCACCCTCCTTAAATGAAGAAGACGATGAAGAATATGATTTTATTTTACCTCCACCACAAACATCAAGAAGAAAATTGCGTAATGTGCGATTTGCTGATGAATGTGGATTTAGACTGTCTACTGTGCGAATAATGACTGAGCCTAGCGATTATCCGCCTAAAATTAGTCCAGGTTTTTTATTTTTTTAATTTTTTGAGGTTTAAGTAATGGGGGGGGTCTATAGCAGGATGTCACGGGTCCGATCCGAAGCTGAAAAACCCAGAACCAAGAAATTTCCGAAATCTGACCTGACTCTTTTCTTTCCCTCTTATCTGTGATATCCCTGGTTTTTAATTTATGATAAAGAAAAGTATTTTCTTTTAGCTGTTCTTCGTCGGATAAAACGTGCAGCAATGCAAAGTGAACTGATTGACTCGAATAAAACAAAATCCGACGGGTGGACTAATTCGGATGATGAGGAAGAAGATTCTGGTGATAATGACTACGAAGAATTTGATGGTTTGGATGAAGTCAAACGAATTCATCGCCGCTCTTCTTGGAAGCTTTGTTTCAAACAACCAGCTAGTGAATATCTAAAGTTTCGTGAAACGCTTGACAGATTGAAGGTTGCATTGGAAAATGTTATGCTTCGTAATGATTTGGGGCGTATGAACGGGACGATTAAGGTTTAGAAAAAATTTTTTAAATTTTGAGATGAGTTTTTAAAAATTTAAGGTTGCCAACATTGCTTATGAGAAGAGTGTTTTTGTGCGCATTAGTGACGACCGTTGGAGTACTTTTCGAGATCGGCCGGCTAAATACCAATGTTCGCCTTCCAAAGCTTTTGACACTTTTCGATTTGATTTTGACATTCCTCGAAATGATAAATCGGTATTTATTTATTTTACCTTTTTTGAATAACCAAAACTTAGTTCTAATGTCGCCCTCCCATAGTCAGCTTTTCTTTATGTATAAATTGGTCAAATTTTTGAAGGAAGAGTGACTTAATGGATGATGTCACAGGGAAATTTTTTGAAATTATACAAGGACGGAAGGACTGGTCATCTTGTACATAAAGAAAAAACCCTGACTAGGCGAAGGAAATGACATTAGTACGCCAAATATTTTTGACATGAGCTGGAAAATTCACAAAAAATATTTCTGTTTTTGAATACGGGTTTGGTGTTAGACTTTGTCAGATAGCTCCCTCCTTTTAATTGTTTTAACAAGGATTCCTTTTTCAGGATTCACGTATTGAGTTTTGTATTTGCTACAAAGCAAATAATACTGAATATTGGGATTCTAATGATGGCCATAATTTTGTGCTCACTCCAGATGAACCATTTCCTTTGTTAATTTCTTCATCACAGCACTTTAAAGACATCAAAGTTTATTATTAATTTATAGTCTTTTTATAAAATCTCTCTCTCGGATATTTTTTAAAAACTCATTTTTAGAGGTTTTACTTGAGAATTTATATATTTTATTAAGTTTAAAAAAATTTTATATTTTTTTTTCTTGCCTTAATTTTATGTAGTTATAAAAATACAGGGTGCACACTAAAACGTGAATATTCTATCTTTAATATTTTTCGGGCCCTATCGTCAGATATCTTGCAATAGTGTGCCCTGGACATTATATATTTTTGCTTCAAGCATTTTATTTTTTCACTTTTTCTTGTGCCTTTTTGAATAAAATTTAATAACTAAAGAAGGGTTAATTATTTTTTTATTGTTGTTGGAAAATCAATTGAATTCTTATTGTTCATATTTTATTGAATGTTTATCATTATAATTTTTAGAAAAATATTTTGGAATTTTTGATGTGTCAATATGTCGATTCAATTTTACTATATGTGGAAGATGACTCACCGTTAAGAAGAACTTCTACATGCGGAAATTTATTGATTTTATTGAATTATTTTATTGAATGTTTATCGTTATAATTTTTAGAAAAATATTTTAGAATTTATGATGTGTCAATATGTCGATTCAATTTTACTATATGTGGAAGATGACTCCTCGTTAAGAAGAACTTATACATGCGGAACAAGGTTTATTGTTAGTTAAATAAATGGGAATAAACTAAAAGATTTTTATATGAAAATTATTTACGTTAAGCTTTGTTTGGGTTGTTTACACTTCGCTTTTCCTCCTAATGGAGTAGGAATGGGTCCCCCTTGGTGCAACTTTTTCGAAAAATAACCAATGAAAAATTTAGATTGAATAAAAAATTTTCTGAAAAGAAGGGTTGGGGTGGGGGCGGACAAAAATTGCTAATGTTATAAACCTAAAGTAAATTAACGTTTTTCAGTGTCCTTCAGTTCAACCTCAACCTGTACATACGTCAAGCTTGCGATTCAAATATTCATCAACAAACGAAAAGTTAGTTTATTTTAACAGTTTAATCCAAAGTCCTCTTGCCTTCGTGCAGGGGGCAACTCAAGTCCCCCTGCCTTCGTGCAGGGGGCAATCAAGTCCCCCTGCCTTCGTGCAGGGGGCAACTCAAGTCCCCCTGCCTTCGTGCAGGGGGCAACTCAAGTCCCCCTGCCTTCGTGCAGGGGGCAACTCAAGTCCCCCTGCCTTCGTGCAGGGGGCAACTCAAGTCCCCCTGCCTTCGTGCAGGGGGCAACTCAAGTCCCCCTGCCTTCGTGCAGGGGGCAACTCAAGTCCCCCTGCCTTCGTGCAGGGGGCAACTCAAGTCCCCCTGCCTTCGTGCAGGGGGCAACTCAAGTCCCCCTGCCTTCGTGCAGGGGGCAACTCAAGTCCCCCTGCCTTCGTGCAGGGGGCAACTCAAGTCCCCCTGCCTTCGTGCAGGGGGCAACTCAAGTCCCCCTGCCTTCGTGCAGGGGGCAACTCAAGTCCCCCTGCCTTCGTGCAGGGGGCAACTCAAGTCCCCCTGCCTTCGTGCAGGGGGCAACTCAAGTCCCCCTGCCTTCGTGCAGGGGGCAACTCAAGTCCCCCTGCCTTCGTGCAGGGGGCAACTCAAGTCCCCCTGCCTTCGTGCAGGGGGCAACTCAAGTCCCCCTGCCTTCGTGCAGGGGGCAACTCAAGTCCCCCTGCCTTCGTGCAGGGGGCAACTCAAGTCCCCCTGCCTTCGTGCAGGGGGCAACTCAAGTCCCCCTGCCTTCGTGCAGGGGGCAACTCAAGTCCCCCTGCCTTCGTGCAGGGGGCAACTCAAGTCCCCCTGCCTTCGTGCAGGGGGCAACTCAAGTCCCCCTGCCTTCGTGCAGGGGGCAACTCAAGTCCCCCTGCCTTCGTGCAGGGGGCAACTCAAGTCCCCCTGCCTTCGTGCAGGGGGCAACTCAAGTCCCCCTGCCTTCGTGCAGGGGGCAACTCAAGTCCCCCTGCCTTCGTGCAGGGGGCAACTCAAGTCCCCCTGCCTTCGTGCAGGGGGCAACTCAAGTCCCCCTGCCTTCGTGCAGGGGGCAACTCAAGTCCCCCTGCCTTCGTGCAGGGGGCAACTCAAGTCCCCCTGCCTTCGTGCAGGGGGCAACTCAAGTCCCCCTGCCTTCGTGCAGGGGGCAACTCAAGTCCCCCTGCCTTCGTGCAGGGGGCAACTCAAGTCCCCCTGCCTTCGTGCAGGGGGCAACTCAAGTCCCCCTGCCTTCGTGCAGGGGGCAACTCAAGTCCCCCTGCCTTCGTGCAGGGGGCAACTCAAGTCCCCCTGCCTTCGTGCAGGGGGCAACTCAAGTCCCCCTGCCTTCGTGCAGGGGGCAACTCAAGTCCCCCTGCCTTCGTGCAGGGGGCAACTCAAGTCCCCCTGCCTTCGTGCAGGGGGCAACTCAAGTCCCCCTGCCTTCGTGCAGGGGGCAACTCAAGTCCCCCTGCCTTCGTGCAGGGGGCAACTCAAGTCCCCCTGCCTTCGTGCAGGGGGCAACTCAAGTCCCCCTGCCTTCGTGCAGGGGGCAACTCAAGTCCCCCTGCCTTCGTGCAGGGGGCAACTCAAGTCCCCCTGCCTTCGTGCAGGGGGCAACTCAAGTCCCCCTGCCTTCGTGCAGGGGGCAACTCAAGTCCCCCTGCCTTCGTGCAGGGGGCAACTCAAGTCCCCCTGCCTTCGTGCAGGGGGCAACTCAAGTCCCCCTGCCTTTGTGCAGGGGGCACAAATTTTGGAGTGTCCGTATGCCGTTTTGTACAAGAAAGGAGGGGTAAACAATACAAAAGGTATCAGATAATCAATTCGTTTATTTTTTAATTTTTTATCAATTTTTTGGAAAATAGTAAATTTTTTTAAATATTCAATTTTTTCGATTAAATTGCAAAAATTCAATTCATTCAGCCAAAGGCGGCACAAGTCCCATTGCTGCCCAATTAATCCAATGTAGTCGGGCAAGCAGATCTACAATAATTAAGTACTTTATAATTTCTCTTTTTCTCACCACTAGTGCCCCATATTGTACTTGAATATTCCAATGATTTATTGTATTTTGCCTCCCTAATTGTTCGTTCTAGAAATCTAAAAGGTTCATCGTCGCTAGCAATTATTGCCTTAAAAATAAAATTTCCGGACTTTATTAAAAATCATTGTACCTCAAGCATGTTTATATACGCACACTGAAATAATGCGTGACCGGTCAATCCGTCAGTGGACAATCCGGCAGTGGAAAATCCGTCAGTGGACAATGCGTCAGTGGTCGGACAATCGGTCAGTGGACAATCCGTCAGTGAACAAATTTGTAATTCCTACCCTTACTAAAACTATCGCGCCCAAAAATTTTCATTTTATCATGTAGGGGATTATAAGAGATAACGAAAATATGGAGATTAATGAGGAAATCGGCAGATTTAGCTGGATTAAAAGCAATTCAGTGGGTATGTGGTTAATTACGCGAATGTCATGGCTTTAGAAGGGTATCGGGGATTTGGATGGATTAGATTTACGTGATCAACGTGTGGCATTATTGTAGGATTTGGGTAAATATGTGTAATTATGGAACTCGATGAATAAGAGAGATTGTTTTTAGATGGATATCATGGAACAACCTCCAAATCTTCTTAACCCGCCTATATCCCTTGATATCCTCCTTTATCCATAAAATCCATCTTAATCTCCCAAATTTCTAGATAACCACCATAGTACTACAAATCTTTTATATTCCCCTTGATCCACAATATCTTTGAAGTCCCCGATGACTCCCAAATCCACAGATATGCTTTAATCCAGCTAAATCTGCCGATTTCCTCATTAATCTCCATATTTTCGTTATCAGTTATTAGCTCTCACATGAAAAAATGAAAATTTTTGGCTGCGGTTTTTTGGGTTCGGGTGGGAATTATAAATTTGTTCACTGACGGATTGTCCACTGACCGATTGTCCGACCACTGACGCATTGTCCACTGACGGATTTTCCACTGCCGGATTGTCCACTGACGGATTGTCCGGGAGCCGAAATAATGTATTTTACAAAATTTTTTAGAAAACTTGCCGCTAAATTAAGTGTGTCAATTTTGGATAAACGCTTTTCATAGGGAAAAGTTGGAATCTGACTTCGAAGAGCCTAAAGTTTTTTAATTCGATTTATTAAAGACTAAGAATAAATACAGCAAAAGCTCCATTTATTCCACCACTGATTCTACGACGTTCATTTTTTGATGTAGCAGACTTAGCAAGGTCATTCTTTACGACTTCATTATTGTTAACACAGGGCTCGTTATTCTCAACTAAACATTCTGTTTGATAATTAAAATGTTTCTGTTGTTTAATTCCTTCTGACTTTTCCTCGTTGACCATAACGGAATAATTTGGAACATGAATTTCAAAGGAACTGGGGGAATAGAAACACGAATAATCCGAAGAGGATTTATGGTAATAGGAAGAACTTGTAGTAATAAGGTCGTTGCTAATATAGAAAACATTATTATCCATGATAGTGGCAATAAGGAACTTTAAATATTTCAAGAAAAAATTCAATTTCAAACAAAACTTTCGAAGAAAACTTTAATAAATGTCAGTCAGTATTCCACAAATTGGTGTTTTAGGCAAGATTTACTAAAAAAGTAGGATGGCTGCCATTAGAATTTATGAGAGATGCATATTTACGAATTAATTTCAACAGAAAAAATTGTGGGAAGGGACAATAAAAGACAGCCGTCGCATGATTAAGTTTATTCAAGCGTAAAAACTGTCAGAAAAACCCCAAGTATGAAAAGGTTTATTAACAATTATTAGAAGAATACTAACCCTGATATTTTACTAATTAAAAATGAAAATTTTAAAAATTATATAAGATGAGACAGCAAAGGAACAATCGAACAATTTTTTTGCGGGATTTTCCCAATCTAGTAGATATATTCTTTTGCGAATTTAAAAAGGGAACCTAGAGGAAATTGCTTCGATATCCCAAAACAAAAAATAACCCCCAAAAACAAACATCAGATAAAATAAAAATACAACCAATTTATCTAAAAGGATTTAGATGTGGAAATAAATTTTAAAACATTTGTTTAAAAAAGCAAAAAACTTAAGAAATTTTACGAACTTTATTCTATACCCTAATTAGTCTTTCAATTAAGGATAAATTTTTTTCCTAAAAAATTTTCGTAAAAAATCTGGACTTGTCGATATTTACAAAAAATAAATCATCAAACAATACACAAGAATTATGGATAAGTAAAATAAAAAAGATTATTGAAGGATATTTTCAAAAATATATTTGGTTATAAATATAATGCTTTTTGAACTTTGGATTTTTTAGGAACTTTGGATTTAAGAAAAAATTATTAAGGAAAAAATTTAAAAGGCAACTGATAAAAAAATTAATAAAAAGAATTAAACCTTAAATTCACAACACAAGCAAAAAAACAAAAATATATCCTTTCCTTCAGTGTGTCTTCAAATTTAAATTTTTGGGAGATAAATATTCAACTCTTTGGAGTTTTTTCAGTTGCAGTTGAATAATCTTCTTCATTAGAAGCATTGGAATCTTTCTTGTTTTGTTGTTCTTGCTTCAATTTAAGTTCAGAATTATAAAGTGGTGGTGAAGCTGAAGAGGTAGCAGCAGTAATATCAGTAGAAATAGCGGCGGCAGCAACGAGTGAATTAAAAGAAGAACGGCAAGATTCTAAAGAGGCAACACTTCCTCTGAAAAATTAATTGCTAAAATATTATAGAGGAACTTTTAAAAAATACTTAAAATCCTTAGAGTTCAGCAGCTCATAATATACCATAAGACGACATTTATGTGTTGGTCCAGAAGTGGAAGTTTTTTGTTGTTGTTGATGAGTTGTAGATGGAACATGAGAACTCGAACCGTCTCCTAAACAGCCATCTAATAAATAAATTTAAATTTAATATAAACCAATATGTGAGGATTCTTTTTTGCTGTTAGTTTCTGTTGAAACAGCTGCTACAAATTCGCCAGGATGTCGCCATTGAAGAATATAAGTACCTCCTTTATCACAATAAGTTGTGCCCTAAATTGTGTAAATATAAAAAGTCAAGTTTTTAGAAACATACTTGCATTGAATCAGTTTCTTTAAAATCTAATGGATTCCCAATAATTGTAAGTTCAGTACCAACACGAAATTCTGGTTCACATTCAATTGCCTCAAAAGTAGGAGATTAAATTAAAAAATCTAGAAAAAATTAAAGTACATAAAAATGTGGAATTGTAGAAGGAGAAAGTAAATTAGACAATTCACTTGTAACAGTGTCAACAACTCGATCCAATGGACCAGGAGTAGTAGCAGTTGTTGTTGGCGCTGATGAAGCTGCTCCTGCTGCTGTAGATAAATGGCCAGAGAGAGGAGTTTTTGAAGAAATTTTCTAAAATATTTTTGAGGTTAGTTCAAGCAAAAAATAGCCGCAACCTTTTCGGAGTAGTAAATAACAAATTCACATTCGCCTTTAATAATGTCAAAATCCCAAGTAAGCACAGAACCAGCTTGCTGTACCCAAACGCAAACCTATTTGAATATAAAAAAACTCAAATATAAGATAAGAAAGGATAAGAAAATTATATTTAAAGATTTTTTACCTCGTATGGAGAACCTCGATTAACCACAACTTGTGTATAAGTATTTGTAAGAATATCATTTGTTTCGCGTAGCAATTCTCCACCAGGAATTGGTAAATATTCTGATTTTGGAACCATCCATGGAGGTTCTGTTATTGCAGCGCAGTCAAATTTACATTTCCCACCAAGAAAATCAGGTAAATAATCTTCAGGTATGTAACTGAATTTAAGAAATTTAAAAACAATTTTTAATTTAAAAAATAAAACCGTTGCAATTCTTGTAGTAATTGATCGCTTGCATATAACACAAATTTCTGTCGTGTATTTTCATCAATAAAAGGAGAAATTAAAGTCCACAAAGTTGGAAAAACACGCGGCGCTCGTATAATTAAAACCATTCCTAAACATTCTGGATAGTGGGCCTCAAGCATTTCAATTATTCGTAAAAGGCATTGAACTCCAGGACGCCATAAATGCCGCATACTTAACCCCTCAAGATCAACTAGAAGCGTCCAAGCACTGTAAATTTTAAATTAAAGAGAGGAAAGAAAAATAAAAATATAAACCTTATCGGTTTTTCCAAACGTTTTGTGGCCTCAGCAGTCTTTAAAAGTCCTTCCTCACAAATTGAAAGAGTAAATTTAACTATTGATTCAAGACCAACAGAACGCAAAAGGCCCTATAAAATAGTTATACTATCAATTCAAAAATCAAAGAAAACCTTTATATCCATTTGTCCAAGACGCAAAATAAAAAGAGGTCTTCCTTGATTATCGTTATGATGCCAACCACCAGGGAAATATTTAATCAATAATGGAGGTGGAACAAAATCATGTAGAATTTTGTCAACATTATGCTGTTTACGCCAAAGAAGAGAATTTACAATCTAAAAATTGATTCAAAATAAATTCGTATAAAAATTTAAAAAACCATATGATTAGCTTTCTGAACATCAAAATCACGTGCACGTAGAAAACGCAACAAATGTGCATCATTTGGTATTTTTCCTTTATGTGCTGATTGTAGAACATACAACTCACAAAGACGGCTTTCTTCCAAAGGTGTAAGTTGACCCAAAAAACGTTGAATATATTCACCTTCCAATTTAGAATCCACTAAATTTGAGAAAAAAAAATAATGTACGGATGAAAATTTCTTACAATCATCAAAACTAGTAGCCCGACCTGCAGCATCAGGTTGTGCAGGAGTACCACGTAGTTTTCCCAATTGTTGCGTAACAGAAGCAGAGGATAAAACACCATTTGCTGTCCCAGAAGATTTTTCTGTAAAAAATATTCAAAGAAATTCAACATTAATAAAAAATTCTTACGTTTTCCACTTCCTCCCAATCCACTTGAACGCCTCCGTTTCAGTTCTTCACGTGAAAGTTTTTCCTCTGCCGTGCCTGATAAAGGTTCAGAATTTAGTTCGTTTATAACAGCATTTGCAGTTAATGTAGTTGAACAAGAGCCTCCAAAACCACTACTGCTGGCTGGAGGTGTTGTCGGTGGAGAACTTCTAAAAAAAGATGTAATTACATATTACTTATTCAAATATACCTGTCAGGAGTTTTTACTGAATCAATTTTTCCAGTTTCATCAGTTGGATTATCGGCATTTGTGTCATCAAAAAAGAAAAAAAACGAAATTCTATAAAGGAAACAATCCATAAAAATTCCAACCTTTCTCTTCACCTTTCCATATCGGTACATGTGTAACTCCATTCTTAATCAACTCATCGATAAAGAATTCGAGTACTTCTTTTCCCTAAAAGAAATATTTTTTATAAAAAATTATTAATTAATACCTTAGCAATATTAGCACTATATTGTTTAACAGCAAGCTTTTCAATTGCTGATTCCAGCCCAAAAAACGATTTTACATCAAGGCTTGAATTTTGTTCAAAGCATGTCCATTCTGGATTTTCTGTGTGAACCTTTACTTTAAAATTAGTTTAAAATGAAACAAAACACAAACATAATATCGGCAGTTTTCGATAACAACAATACGATTAGCAAAAGAAATGTTTGAAGCCTCAATAAGCAAAGTTCGAGCACGCAAATTTAAATGATTTCTTTGTTTAAAATAAACATAATCTACACCAGCAATCTTTAAAAATTAATTGGGTAATAATTAAAATGACAAACAAAAAAACCTTTTTGACAAGATAAGGAGCTTCTACATTAAGTTGACATTTACGTTCTATAATTTCTTCACCACCATCTTCAGCTTTCCATTCATAAGTAATCTCAGAACCGACGAAAATTGGAATTTGTGGGCATGTTGGAAATCTCTAAAAAAGCTTTTAAAAATTTTACAAAATATTAACCTTGTGATAAGCAGCCATAACCAACTCAAAAGGAAATTTGTAGACACGTACTGGACTTTGATAAGTTTGAACCATTTTAAAAATATTTTAAAAAATAATTTAATTATCTGCAAAAATGGAAAATTAGTTATTGAAAGTTGGGGTTCAATATTAAATAATTAACACGAAAAAATTATAGTATGACTAATGCAAAAAATATTTAGATTATTAACGGTAGCTGAATTCATTCATCAATGAAAAAAAGCAGAGAAACTCCACGAATTTAAGGCTTCAGTAAAAGAACGAGAGGCAAAATAAGCAAATTCGCCGTCCGTACAAAAAGGCGTTGATTTTTGAAGAGAACAAACGTCGATTTATTAAAAGATCGATACAGTCAAAATAGGTCAAAAGGTCGTTTTTTATGCAACTGACAAAAGACCGACTGAGATTTTCTTATATTAGACGTCGAAAATGCTTGAGGTATTTGAGAAGATCAAATGTAATGACACTTTATCATTAAGTATAACAAACAATTCCATAATTATCAATCATGAAAAGTTAGATTTTAATGATCATTTATTGATTTTCATCATATTAAAACTTAACTATTTCGAAATACAGTAACTTCGCACACTCAAATAAGGCCCTGAAACGTCCCAAAAATTTATCTTTATTCTTTTCTCTAACTACAGTATTCCATTCTATAATTTCTCTAACTTTTGAGATAAAATGTCATTTATTTTTTAATATTACATCCCAACTTGACAAGGGACACGCCCGATTAGGCGCGACCGATTAGGCGCGACCGATTAGGCGCCGGCTGATTAGGCGCGCGGCCAATTAGGCGCCGGCCGATTAGGCGCCAACCTTTTAATTAATACCCCCTTCCATAAGACCTCCGCGGAAAAAAGTTTTTGCCGCTGCGGAGGAAGCCGGGCATGTCGAGCGGAACGACGGCCGCCGCTTCGCTACGGTCGCCGCGAGCGAAGCGAGCACGACCGCAGCGAAGCACGGCCATCGTGTAGCGAAGACCATGCCCGGCCTACCCTCCGTAGCAGCACAAAAACAGTTTTTCCAGCGAAGATTCAGTTGGTCATAATTTTCTCAAAAATCATCCAATCGAGCTGATTTTGGTGTCATTCAACTCAGCTCGTCGAGCCCGTTCGAATGACATATAAATTGTCCAATTTTGAGTCTGGTACGTAAACTGTAGTTAGGCCGGTTTTTTAATTTTGGAAAATTTTTTGTAAATTTTTTGTTTTATAATTCAGAATGGTTCCATTTGATGGTCGATGGGACCATTCTAATTGACTATAATCAGAATATTTAATTAAAAGCTTGGCGCCTAATCGGCCGGCGCCTAATTGGCCGCGCGCCTAATCGGCCGGCGCCTAATCGGCCCGCGCCTAATCGGGCTGTACCCACTTGACAACTACCTCAAACATTTCCTATCTCAAATTATTACATTCCACCTCATTTAAAAATAGAGACAGAAAACTTTCGAAACAGAAAAGAGTACTAGAGTCGCGGAAGCATGAAAATTTCGTTCTTGGACTCTACAGCAGTTTCAAATAAAAATATATCTTTTCTATAGGTCGAATAATTTTAAGTCCTCGATAACGCATAATGAAAAATAATAAAGCATCGACAACAAATTCATTTATTTATTCAAACAGATAAAATTTAGCTAAAAACAAGCAAAATTAAAATGATAATATATATGTCCAATACCCAAGGGATTTTTAAACATCGTCAACGGAAATTTTTTAAATTAATAAGTTCCAAAAAGGGACAAAATTTGAAATAAACAGAGAATAATAAAACCAATGTTAATTTTCAAACCTGATTTGCTGAATTCTAACAAAGGATTGCAGTTCTTCAGTCATTTTTTCTGCTGATTCTTGTTCTTCTAAAGATTCGCATCAAATAGACGGTCTTTCCGCAACAATTCAGTCTTAAAAAATAATCTTGAATCCATAGTAAATAATTAAAAATAACCTCTTCAAACATTTTTACGGCTTCAGGACACTCTCTCTCAAAGCTGAAAATTAAGTAATTAAAAAACTTTTAAACATAAAAACAACCTATCGAAAGATCAACTATTCAAAACAAACAAGCCAGTACATCTAACCATCGAACATTTGCTGTGCGTCTTCATAGGAACCTGGCAATCTTTGATGGGCTTTAACACTCAATTAAGGGATAAACTTATTTAAGGGAGTAACTTTGCGGACAAAACTTGCGGATATTTAATAAAGTAAAAAAGCTAACCATGTAGACGAGAGCATTGGAGTTTAATGTAGACGAGAGCACTGTTTGGAGTGAAGCCAGACTGCCCAGATATCGCCGAAGCGAAGAGTGGGACTTTTTCTGCCCAAATATCGCCGAAGCGAAGAGTGGGACTTTTTCTGCCCAAATATCGCCGAAGCGAAGAGTGGGACTTTTTCTGCCCAAATATCGCCGAAGCGAAGAGTGGGACTTTTTCTGCCCAAATATCGCCGAAGCGAAGAGTGGGACTTTTTCTGCCCAAATATCGCCGAAGCGAAGAGTGGGACTTTTTCTGCCCAAATATCGCCGAAGCGAAGAGTGGGACTTTTGTTGCTCCGCTCCAAACACTAAAAATGGGATTCTATTTTTAAAATTAAACCTAAACAAACGTTTTGAATCGGCTGCTGAACTACTGAAAAAAATGTATTAGATTCTAAAAATTAAAAAAAGCAAGTCTTGTCCGCAAGTCATTACTATACTCCCCACACCCCTAAAAGGTTTAATCCCAAAAAAAGAAAAAGCCAGCCATGCACATCTTTCCTGTAAATGGCAACAGAGAACTCTAGATGAGTCATTAAAAATCGATTATTGATTTTTGGGATGAAGTGTCATTTAATCTTAATGTTTTGCATTATGCCAAATAGCGCAGATTTTTGAACTCCAGAACTGAGTTTGCGACAAAGTGGAGTGTGTATTTTTTGTCGTTGTTTTTCTATTTTTTGTAGGTTATAGATTTAGAATTTTGTTTATTTTTCAAGCTTTTTCCTTCTTATTTTTCAGAAAAAATAAAGAAAATTTTTAAAAATGCATTCGCCAGCAAATTCGCGCAATTCAAGAATGTCAATGTCACCATCGCCTCGACCTTCTCCACGTCCTTCTCCTCGTCCGTCTCCAAGACCTTCTCCATCTCCACGTGGCATTCGTCGTCAACCGCCTCGAGATAATTTCCAAATGCTTGAAGAGTTGGCCAGTTCTTCGTCTTCTCTGATTAAGGAAAATATTGAGAATCCTGCAACTAAAGATTATTGGGTTAAACAGTGCTTGGATCTTGTTGCCGCAAAAAATGCTTCTGATGTTTGTTTGTTTTTTATAATTTTTTAAATTTTATTAATTTTTAAGGTTAAAATTGAGCGTTTAAAACAAAGGAATGCTGAATTGGAATTAGAAAATAGGCAAATTCGTGAGTCCAAAGTGCGTATGCAAGTGCGTGTTGAACAAGAAGAGGAATATATTTCTAATATGTAAGGTTTTGTTTTTTTATTTTTAAAATAATAGTAAGAGCGAGGTAATAGCTTATCTCCGGGTAGGAATCTATCTTCAGGCTGACATCCCATGGTCTTCCAGGACGCTGCCTTCACCTTCTTTTAATAGATCTTAAATCCTAGCCTGATAATCGATTCAATTGCTTGGATCTTCCTCAAATAATTTTAACGTCTTCTAGGCTTCTTAAACGCATTCAAAAGCTCAAAACTGATAAGGAACAACTTGCGCTCAAATATGAACAAGAAGAGGAGTTTCTCATTAATGATTTGATGCGTAAACTTACTCAATTGGAAGGTGAACGTGATGAATTAGCTAGTCGTCTGAGCAAAGATCAGAGTTGGATGGTGGCAAATTTGTTGCAAAAAATTCGTAAACTTGAAGCTGAAATTCAGAGTAATCATAAGGTTTATAAAATATTTATGTATTTTTGGGGTTCTTGATGGTATAGACAGGCACTTGTTAGTCTCATCTCTCGAAAAAATTTTCCTGGTTGCTTACTTATGATGATTTATTTTTAGACTACTTGGTTCCCGAATTTTTGGATCAGGCCAATGTGCCGCCAACCAATGTGCGCGTTGCACTGGGATGTACCCTTGAGTTGTTTTTAACTTTATTCCTTTTCTAGTCTTTGGAGCAATTGCGCCGCGAGAAGGTAGACTTGGAAAATTCGTTAGAACATGAACAGGAGGCATTGTTTAATACTTTAGGAAAAAGGTTTTCAAATCTAATTAAAAATAAAAATATTTTTTAAAAGGATGGACTCGCTTGAAGCAGAAAAGCGTCGAATGCAAACACGTCTGGACGAACTTGAGGCTACTAGTAATAACAACACTACGACAACAACGACGACGAATACTTCTGCTGCCGCTTCTGCTGCTGCTACCACATCATCTAACGAAAATCCTGTTGAAAAGGCAAATTGATTTTAATTTCTTTCATATATAAACGAGTACATAAACACCAGGGATATATTATTTAAAAATTTCTGAAAAAAAGGGATAAGACTCGGGATTCCTTTTAAAAAAACTTCTTTTTGACTTTATTTTTAATGTATTTCCATAATTCTGTTTGATTTTTATATTTGAGATACTTTTCTGTTTCCTCAAAAACTTTATAAAAATTTAGTTAAAAAAGGTAATCCTCATGTTTATTGGTCCCCAGAAAAAAATGAATTTTTTGAGGTTTGCCAAGAGGTAGTCGAATGTGTTGAGTCCGGATATTAGATTATTGTTAGAATTTGTTCAGAATTCGACATGGCCGAATTTCGGTCCTGGATTTGAAGAACTTATATTCAGATTAGCACACGATTACCTTTTTCTAGGGACCATTAGACTAGAATATTACCGGAAAAAGATTATAACATTAGACATAATTATGGTAATAACAGAAAGGTATATTTAAATAAAATTACCGACCTATTTTTCTATAAAAAACTTTCACGATATAAAATTTTTATTTTTCTTTTTAAAAACTAAAAATTGTCTTTCAAGTGAAGCAATTTTTATTGAGCTTATCTTTTAAAATAAAAAATAACTTATAAATCTTCCTTCTTTTTAAATAGTATTTTTCCCATTTTTACAAACTTTAATTGGGGAAGATTGTTTTTTAATTTCACCATTCTTAAAATTCTTTCCATTTTTAATAATATTTTCTTCTTCATTTTCCCTCAAATCCTTTGTTTGAACCCATTCAAAGGCTCGACAATATTGATATTTTCCTCCCGGGGCATTAAAATTTTCAGCTTTTAGAGGTTCACATTCACCAGAACAAGTACGTGGATAACAAATAAAGCGAACCTTTATATTAAAAATAAATTTTGTAATTCCTAGGTACTTACATTACGAATATCCACAAGTTGTAAAAGTGAGAAAAATCCATAGGAAAATATTGCAATATATTCAGTTATAGCTTCGCTAGGGCGAACTGAAAAAAAGTTTTTTAGAAAAAGAAATAAAATGAATAAAAAAATCAAGGATGTCACTTATCTTTGCAAGTGTATTACTGGGTCACCTACAAATAACTCCCTTCCCAGGCATTTTTAATGCTGCCTGGTTTATCATCCTTACTTTTGCTCAACTTTTTTCCTCTTAAAATTTTCAAAAATTTCCAAAATTTATTACCATATCCATGACAGCCAGGCATATGAATAAACATTTGATGTGTCTGAAATAACTGCGAACTAGTCCAAGCATACAACAGACAACAAAGTAAACGGCCTGTACCAGCACATAAATCTATTTGTTCCAAATGATCTTTACAAAAAGTAAGAATTGTCCGAATAAACATATGCATAGTTGAAGAAAAAATGAAAGTTCCAAACATTGATTCGTGCAAATCTGAAGAAAGAAAAAATAAACTAGGACATTGATACAGATTAGAAAATTTTAAAGAACCTTGACATTTTGGTTAAGGACCTTGAGAAAATTCTTGAGTCAAGGAGAAATGAGAAAATAAGCAAGGAAAACTCAAGGCCTGAATTCAGATCCAGGCCGGTCACTAATACGGTTAATATCCGGATACGAATACAAAAGTCCATGATCATGTCCAGGTCTGATTAAAAGAAGAAACTTACATGGATAATCAAAACGAATTGTAATAATTGAAAATAGTCCCAAACTAAAAACTTCAACTATAGCAATAGGGGCACTAAGTTCATTCATCCATTGCATGAGAGGATTGCTGAGTACTAGTTGATAATCTCGATATGAATTTCTTTAAAAAATGGAAAACTATAAAAAAATTTTTTTAATTCCAACCTAATAATAAAAGAAACAAAAATTCTCACAGCCATAGGGACACAAACAGAAACTCTGAAACACACATTGCTTAAAACCTTCAATTCTACTTGTCTTAAAAATGATGGCCACATTCCCCTTTCATATGGAATTGTGTTCTAAAAATGTTTAAAAATTTCAGAAAAAAAATTCAAAAGTACAAACATTGCAAAATCCAAGCGTTTTTCCATAAGTATATAATAATTGGTTTAGCGCAAACCGTTCAAAAGACAAATGTTCTATTAATTCCATAAATGCAAATGCCGCAACAAAAAATATAAAAGAAAATGCAGAGAATCCAGCAATGGGCCTATAATTTCTTTTAATTAAAAAAATTTTTCAAAAAAAAATTCCCCAACCAAATTAAAGGTATATTTAAATAAGCAATATCTTCATTATCGTCCTCAACAAAATTTGCAGCTTCTTTAATCTCGTGGTTTTCTTTCGCATTTTTTGGAACTTTTATATTTTTGGAGGTATTATTACATTTAATTCCATTCTTTCCGTTTTCTTTAATATTTTCCTCTTGGATTTTTGTGTTTTTATTGTTTAGAGCTGTAAAAGGTTTAATTGAGAATTTGGATATTTTATTTAAAGCAATTTCCTTTTAAACTGTATTTTTTCATCTATAGAATTTTTTCGATTAATTCCCAGGGGAATTAAAACTGTCCGTGAAATGTGAGAATATTCAGGGGAGGGGAATTAATCAAGAAAATACGATAATTCTGTATTAACCAACCTTTTAAATGTTTCCTTTTCTCATTCTCATTAATTTTTGAAACTATACTTCTTGGTGATGAAGGACAAGAAGGTAGAGAGTGAAGGTGCAAATGCCGTGACAATGAAGTTGCTGGAGACGAAATAATTGGTTTGCTAGAGGAAGCAGCATAAGCATAATAATGAGGGGCAATAATGTTTTTGGTTGTTCCATTTTGTTGTTGTTGTTCCATTTGAGCGATACTTTGAGGGATAGTTGTCTATTAAATCATATTTTTAGAAAAAATTATTTTTGGTAAGTCGATGGAGGTAAATTGTTGTTGTTTTTGTTATGACTTCTAGAAAATTAAAAAAAAATTATTTAAAATAACGGGGGGGGGGGTTGTTTTAAATATTTTTTTCTGCAATAAAAATATACAAATAATCAAAGAAAAATCCTGGAGAGAGCTAAAAACCATTAATAAGCAAGATTTGTCATTCGCGCTTTAAGAGACGTAGGAAAAAAGTAAAGAAAATGAATTGTGACTGTCAATAAGGGGGATATATAAATAATTGTTGGGGTTGTGCTGCGATTTTTGAAGGAAGATTTTATAGTGAAAAAAAAAGAAAATGAGATCGATTTTTGATTTTCACCTTCAAAAATGGTTTGTTCTGTTATTATTATTATTAAATATTTATTATTCAAGCCTCCTCGTGATTATTTGAAGAATAAATAGAAAAATGTGTAAAATTTAAAGTTTAAACAAAAAGCCGTTATTAGGAAGAAATATTGGGCTAAAAACCATTTGTAGGAGGATACAACCAAGGAAGTAGAGGAGCACTACGTAATACTAAATTCCAAAAATCTGCCAAAATACCAAACTGTACATCTTGTTAAAAATCATCATTTTGGTTTTTCGCTGGGGGCTTGATGTTTCGGCGTTTGGTATCATACAACTGGGTAGAGATTGTTTAAGGAAGTTATTGAATGGATTTTCAAAATTTACATAGATATATTAATTTGGAAAGAGGTGTGAATTGATGAGCAAAATGATAAAGCAAGCAAGCAATAAAAATTAAATATTAAGAGGAATGCTTCCGCCAATGACCCGATTTTAGAGCTTAAATTGACAAAGAATTTGTTATTCTTCTAATAAAAAGTGAAACCAGTTTTTAAAATCCCGTTCTGTCCCTGTTGACTTTTTTACTTTATTTTTTATTTTAATGTCTAGAATTTTATTATTGAAATATTTAGTTTTTTAGGAAATTTGAGATTTTTGGCAAGTCAACAGAAAAGAACTAGAATTAATTTATTAAACTTAATTTAACCTGAAGATGTTTATGTGAGGAAGTACCATATATAACTGTTCAATAAATCAACTAACCCTGCTGTTGTCCGTACTTGAAGAAAGAATATAAATAGAAATAGGTTGTGTCCTGTCTTGGCTCTCGCTTTGCTGTAGTTTTTGTAAGGAATCTCCCATGCCTTGGACATAATAAAACCTCAGTGAAGCATCCATCAATTTGCCTTCGTTTTGTGACCTAGAAATGCAAGAGCAAGCAGGTGATATTGATGAAGTCAAAATAATGCCTAAGGGCTTAAGTGGAATAATACCAAAAAATTACAATAAATAGTACAAAAATTAATTAAACAATTTTATACAAATTAAAATTATTAATTACTATTAACATTAATGAAATGTTTTTATTAATTAAAAGAAGACTGGGCTATATATTAAAATCTTAATTTCGAACAAAATTCTCTATTTTTCAAGTCAATGGAAAACATAAACAAAGCAAAGGATTTGAACTTGGAGCCAAAAGAAATTTTGCATCACGTAAAGCTTGTGAGGGTAATTCGGGTAATTCACTGCGAGATTGGCACATCTACAAAAAATTGAGGGGAATTCATTAAAAAATATTTAAACGTTCCCTTACCAAAACTCGAAGTTTCATGCCCGCATCTTGTTGAGAAGACTGTCCATTAGATCCAGAAGAACTTGAGGATCTAAAGAAAAAAATAAAATAATTAAAAAATATAAAGGATAAATTAACCTAAAACTTGAGCTAGAACAAGAACTATGAGTACTCGATGCTGATTGACGCCTTTGACCGATTGTTAAAACATGGTGGTTGCAACGATATTTGGCTGCTGCTCTTTTTAGGGCCTTTAAAATAAATATAAAAAATTAAAAAAAATTTAAATTTTACCTCCAAAGCAGTTGTTGAATCTTCACCAAGTTGTCCATTTGCTAAACAAAGTAATCGAGAATTTGCTAGTCTTGAACGCCAAACAAGAATTCCCATGGTTAAAAGAGAAAGTTCATTGACGGGAATGAGATTACGTTCTAGTAGATCCTAGAAAAAGAATTTTTTGAAATTTTTTAGATTTTTTTTTTAAATTTACCCCAGGCACAACAACACTCTCAAACCACTCAACATTTGTGTGAGTATCCAATTTTGCAAGAAACAGCCTATAGTTACAATTAGAATAAGCGTTGCTGTTGTTTCTTTGTAATGTTTCTTGTTCAAGAATAGTGGTGGTTGTTGGAGGTGGAGAAGAGCATTTACGTTGAGGTATAGGCTCCGGTTTTTCCTTTAAAAAATTTTTCGAATTAAAAATAATTCTAAAAATAAAACGACCGATTCGCAATTAACGGGAGACCCAGGCTTGATGCCTAGCGGCAGTTGGTGATTATTTTAGTGTAGACTCTGTATAGACAAACAGGTGGAATGCCTCGAGTGGGGGGAAGCAACCGGGTCTAGCAATGCTAATAACTCCCGAGGCAGCAAGGCACGTATGTACTACTAACTGGTATATAAAATCCTGAACACTTCCCCCTCCACACAATACTCCTATGGTTATTTAAATTACCCCAAAAAATATTTTTCTTACATGTCTAGCAGATTGTGAAGAAGTTTTTCGTTCAGCCCCCAACCTCTGCTGTTGTTTTCCAGAATTTTTTGAAAAAAGGGATGATGGCACTATACTACCAGCAGATTTGTCAAAGCCTCTAGAAGGACTTGGTTCACTTCCATGTTTGCATATTTTGGCCTTAGGCGATCCAATTTGACGTTGAATTAAAGTATGAGAGGAGGAAGAAGAGGAATCTGAAGAAATTGAAGGATTTGTTGTTAAAATTTTTGTCTCTTCTTTTGTTTTTGCTGTTTTATTTGAAGAATTGTTGCCCCCAGAAACTTCTGAAACAGAAAGAACAAAATCGTAGTAAGCAATTCCAAGAACAGAAGATTCAAAAACGAGATCTGAAAATTAGAATTTTAAATCCTTAATTTGGCACTTTCATATCCGACGTCTATTTGAGTCTCAAAGTTAGTCTTTCCTTCAAGCGACAAAAAGGATATGAAAAAAGGGATACACGACAAATTGCCAATAAATTAAATTGCCAAAAGGCTAAAAAGACTTATTTTGCCAATAAGGGTAAAAACACCCATTTCGCCAGTAAGGGTAAAAACACTCATTTCGCCAATATGGAACGATTTGTAAAAATTGATAATAAAGGCCAAAATTAACTAGGAAGTTGCTTTAATATTCTAATTCGATTCCTCTCATCGAGTTGAGTAAGAATATGGATGAATTATTTGCCAGGGAAAGTCTAGGGAAAAGCTAGCTTGAAATTCCTATGAACACGGGAAAAGGGCCCTCAATTTAAAAATTTTTTATGATCTCGTGCATACCACTAGGTGAAAGGGACAACAACCCAGCAGCTGCAGCCAATTCCATTATTGAAGGAGTTGGTAAACAATTAGCAACAGCACTTCCACGACGGCTTCCAGTATTTGTTGGTAATAATGAAGTTGTACTTAAAGCAGTGCCTTTGCTGTGTTGAAGTAATAAAAGACCTGAAAATGAAAAATTTTTTTAATTTTTAAAAATTAAAAGGAAAATGTATTTTTGAAGAAAAAATTTTTCAAAAATGTACAAAGAAAAAAAATTTTTAATGTAAAATTCGTGATAAAACACCAACGATTATTCCTCAATAAAAGGAATTAATAAAATGGAAAAAATATTTTTTTAAACAAAAGCAAGAAAAAATTCCCATAAAAATTATTAAAAATAAATTTAATTTTTTTAATAAATATTTATAGTAAACATTTAAGTAGACATTATTGTTTTTATTTAAGTTTTAAAGTGCATGGTGCGCGGGAAAAAAATTAGATTTTGACATTTAAAAAAATTCTTTTGTTATTTAATTACTCATTTTATTTTGTTATTTATTTATTAAAAAATTTATTAGAAAATTAAGCACTTGGAAAAAATTGGGAGAAAATTAAATAAAAAATATGATTTAAAAGAAGAATTAATGGCCCTCCCTCAATAATTACCCAACTTATATGTTTCAACCTCCTCAGTGGGAGGTTGAAAAACTAATCCCCCTCCCCCAAATTCCCTAATCTAATACACGTTCAAATTCCTAACCTAGAATAATTACCCTCCCTTGATTAGCGGGAGGGTGGAGCAATAATTACTCGGGGTGTTATTTAAGAAAATACAGTTAATGCCAAAGTGAAAATGGGGGAAAATGTGTTTAAATTATTATTTAAAAAATTATTAAAAATAGAATAAAAATAAAATATTTAAAAAATCAAAATAAATTTTCTCGCCAAAAAAATTAAAAAAAAATTCTTAACTAAAACAGACAATGAGAAGAAAAAATATTTGCCTAAAAATGACTAAAATTAACACATAATAATTAGCATATCTATTTTTATAATTAAAATGCTATGTTATTAATGCCTTTTTAAAAATTTAATTGTACCTTTAAATAAAGGTGAAAATGAGTGAAAAAAAAGAACGCCCATACTTTTACGTGCGCGAAACTATATTTAATTTTAAAAATTAAAAAAACCCCATTTTCCCTTTGACGCTTTTCCTCTCATTGCAATTTTATTCTTTTATATTTTCTATGACGAAATTAAAAAATTATTCTTTTTGTTTTACCTCATTTCCGCCGTTCCCATGGCACAAAATTAAAATAAAATAAAAGAGGCAGTTTAAAACAAAAGGGACTTCCGGTTAGGTTAAATGTGTGTTTATTAAACGAGATAACACGAATTTTAAAAGTCAAATTTTTAAATACAAAATTTCTCTATTTTTATTTTTACGCAAGCAAAAATTTAAAAATAATACAAAAATAAAGATACAAAACTTTATGAAAAAATATAAATCAAGAAAATATTTTTTTTGATAAAATATTTTGCAAGGGAAAAATAAATAAAAAAAAAATATTTTTCGAAATTTCTAATTTGATTTTGAAATAATTTTTCGAAAGTTTAAATTTTTTTTTGAATAAAAATAAAAAAATTTACCAGTCTTTGTAGGCGTTGCAGGCTCAACAACTCCACCATTACACTTCCCATTTTGTGCTACCTCAACAACATCATTAGATAAAGTTAAAGCAGCCATAGGGAGTGAAGCTCGAGATGGGCGACCACCATTCCTACCATTGCGAGTTGAAGTTAGGCTACTAAGTAAAAATGGATTTTTGGATTTATTTTTTGAAGTGGTTAAGCAAAAAATTAAAAAAAATTTTTTAGCTAACGTCTTAATATTTTTTTCAGACCCACCCATTTGTAAGAGGGTTTTGTATTTGAGGAGAAGCATATGCCGCTCTAAGCTCCGCCATTTTTTGTTCTTGATTTTGTTGATGATTTCCATAAATTGCACTTGTAGAAAAACGTGCAAATAAACGGGCATTAAGTAACGAGGGAGGAGAGGAAATTCCTCGACGAGAAGAAGAAGTTGAAGTTGCAATTAAAGGTCTGGAAGGGGAAGAGGTTGAATGATGCGAATTTGATGAGAGATTAATTGTATTGTTAGCTGTTGTGGCAGCCATATTTTTGGGAGGCAGAAGCTGGAGAATTTTTTTAATTTTAAAATTAATTTTTTGGAATAATTCCTTAAAAATTATTTCCAAATTATTTTAATGAAGAATAAAATTAAAAAATAATTTTTAAACAAAAATAGAGAGTTTTCTAATTTTTAAAGCTAAAAATAATCCAAAAATAAATTTTTCTAAATTAATTCGAGTAAATGTTTAGTTAAATTAATGATGTAAAAAAATATTTAAAAATATTTTTTAAAAAATATTTTATAATTTTTTAAGTTTCTAGAAACGGTAAATTTAGTGCATCTCAATTAATAAATACATTAAATACGTAAATTAAAGCTTAATATTCTATATTTAGTAGGGAATAAAATGTGTTTATTTATGCTCTCTAAATATGGTAAAAAATATATTTTTATATAAGGAAGTTGGGGATTAATTTTTGTTAAATAATTTATTTGAAAATTAAAAATTGTAGGGTTTAAATATTTTTGTAGGGGAATATTTAGAAATAAATAGAATTAAGGCTAATTCCTATTCATTTGCAATAACTTGGACAGACAGAAGTGGTTTATTAGGATACCGTATTACATTAAAAACTACCCAGGGTAATTATTGCTTCGAGCTTAATGGCCATTAAAAAGCTCTTTTGAGCTCCCGCCCGAGCGAGTAAATTGATCGAGGAACGCTCCTACATTAATCGAGGAGCGTTAAAATTTCGAAATTTGAACGTGTAGTAGGGCATTTGAGAGGTAATTATTGCTGGAGGGTGTAATAAATTGAGGTGAAGTAATTATTTAAGACGGTAAGACAGGGCAATTAATACAATTTAAAGGGTAATTTAGGAAAACTACTTTGGGTAATCTTTATGAAGAATATTAAAATTTTAGATCTTCAAGATGAATAAAATTATGTTCGATTACATTTATAAATAAAATGATGTGATAATAAATTAAAAGAAAGCTTAATGGCTATCTAAAAGCTTCCATTAATGATGAATCTGGAAAAAAATTAATGTACATTAATAAATAAAAAGCAAAGATGACACTGGAAAAAAATTTTGGTTTAAATAATTTATTAAACTCTCCCACTTATTGTTAGAAATATTATATAATTTATGGCACGAATATAAGAGAAATGTGTTTAATTGATAAAAAACGGGGGAAATAAAACATTAATTTTAAAAATAAAGTTCTGGTCTGAAAATTTTTTTTGAAATTTTAAAAATAAAAAAATTTAATTAAATAAATTAATTTTTATTTAAATTAAATACCAAAAATATATAAAATTGTCTGAGAAAGGTGTGTAAATAAATATAGAAACATTTTTATACTATTTAATACCATTTTAAACACCTTCATTTTACTCCTATTTCCGTTGACATTAAATTATTTTTTCAAAAAAAAGTATTGTTTTTCAATAAAAGAATTTTTTACTTAAAATTATTGGGTATTTAAAAAAATAAAATGAGGAAAATGTCAAAAAATTAAACAAAAAATTAGAATTTTTTTAAATACCGTTAAATCTCTAAAGAATGCCCATTCCCTTTAGTTAAATGCCCTCTCTAATAGAATGCCCTTTTTAGGTGATTTAAAAATATAGAATGACCCTCTAGTGCCCCCAATAGAATGTGACTGAATAATGCCCCCTCTAGTGCCCACTGTATTGGCCAATGCCTCTTCCTTCATAATAGAATGTCCCTTTTTGAGGGTAATTAAAAAATATAATGCCCGGGCATTCAATTAGAAATTTTAAGACATTAATGTTTATAAAATTAAAAAAATTTTAAAAGTCCAAATAATAAAATAAAAGCTAAGCAAGTAACAATAAACTATATTTATATTTAAAAAATTGAGAAGCCTTTAATTTTCTGAAATTAATAATTAACAAAATGATTTTTAAGAAAGGCTTCTATTGCATAAATTTATTTAAAATTAAATATTTTTTTAATTATTTTGAGATAAAAAAACATCATAAAACAATAAAAATAATTTTGTTTTTTATGCCCACACATTTTTTTAAAATTTTCCTCGTGACCTAATCGACATTTATTTGACTCAATTTCAAGTCAATTTTAAAGATATAAGGATAAAAACGAATTAAAATGACTCGGTATTTTAGTAAAATTAAAAAGATAAAAAGAGGATTTATTCAGTTATTTGTCTGGAATTTAAAAAAAGATTAGAAAAGAAAGGCCAAAAGAAGTAGAAAATATTTAAAGAAAAAAGGGGAAGGATACGAGGAAGGGCCGGAAGGAGCAGAAAAAAGAGAGTATCTATAGTAAAAAAATATTTTTTTAGTTTTTTAGCCAGTCTTCCAACAAAACAACCCTCCACAAATTGTGCAAATGCGTCAAATGGAAGAAGCTCTGTTCTGCGTCAAAGCCTTATTGTTATTGCTACTAATGATTGTTATTTAATTTAAGGGAAAGAGAGAGAATCCTTTTAAATTGGTGTAAATAATAAGACAAATTAAATTTATATTTATAACAAAAAAATATTTTTTTAATAAATAATAATTTAAGAAAAGAAACTGACGTAAATAAAAATTGAGACAGAAAACGTGGTATAGGATTGGGTTATTTAAATATTGGAATTAAGCTTAATAGGAGAAGATAAATGCATCAGAGAGCGTGAGGCATGTGTATCATCGTGCTGTCCGATCCCCTAAATCTAGAATTTATTTTTGGTTTGCAGTATGTTCTCTGATAATTTCACTAGAACCCGGACTTAGAGGGCAGTCGTAACAAAATTAAGGATCTCAAAAACCGAGATTTCTCGTTGAGATCTCACTCGGCCCAGGATCCAATCTTAAACACAAAAGGTTTTTCAAAAAATTCTTCCATCCCAATTTATTCTCCCCCTACTTCATTAATTAATATTCGTATTTTTTGCTCAACATCATCGTTTGATTTAATTTTGATCAAAAATTAACATAAAAAACATATTTTTTAAATATTTATTTTAAATAAAAAAATAATCCTAAAAATTTTTCAATGTTTTTGGACTATAAAGTTCATTATTCAAAAAATAGGTGCAAAGTCCAAATCCACACATTCCTTCTTTAAACTAATTTCCAAACCAAAAAAGTGTTAAAATTTTTTTTGTTTTTATTTTTTTCAATTTATATTTAATTTAAAAATTTAAAAATATTTTTTTTTCAGATTTAAAAAAATAAACAGGAAGTATGGAGCTTGTTTTTTTAATTTATTTTGTAAAAATAAATAAATTATTAAAAAACTTTTTCTGTAAATATATTTTATAGTTTGTAAAAATGCTAGTTAATTATTTTAAAAATACTGTAAAGCTTTCTTAAAATAACAATAATTATAAGTAAAACTTTTTCGTAACTAAAAAAGGGACATAATGGTAATAAAATTATTTTTGTGGGATTTTTCTGAAAAATAAGAGTTTAGCTAACTTGTAGCAAATTTCAAGGGCTTTCGAATAAGCCCAAAACCAAAATTCAAAACAATCTGTAAGAGGTCGAAAATATTTTTTAAAGTGATTTAACCCTGTTTTTACGTTGATTTCTAGAAGGATGATAAATTTGAGATAAAACAAAAAATACTATTAAAAATAAAACAACTACTGGATAAAAAAATAAATATTTTGGCTGTTTCCGGAAAAAAATAAAATGAACTATTCATTAAAAATGACTTGAAGAAGAAGCTGTTGCAGAAGAGGGAAATTAAATGCAAGAAAAAAGGGAAAAGAGAAAGGTCATGAAATTAAATTTTATAAAAAAGAAAGAGCTAAATATTTTTTTCAACTAATTTTTTTTTATAATTTGTATTTTTAATTAAGAGAAAAATGAAAATGACAACAATTTTAATGACCTAAAATTAGTAGAAAAAATAGAAGCAAAAAATATTTTAGAAAGCAAAAAAATTATTAGAAAGCATTTATGGGTATTATAAGAATTTATTTAAAAAGAAAAATTTTCTAATAAATTTTATTTTACTAAGATTATGTTAAAAATAAATATTCTGGATATATAAATTAATATAAAATGACATGTGGAGATTTTTATTATAATGTATTATTATTAAAATCATAATTGAATCAAAAATTAATTGGAGTTGATGAAAGATGAAAATACGTCTATCAAGTCTGTCAGATTAAATATAAATCTTGATTATGAGAAAAATGAGAGAAATTTTTTGATATTGTCAAAAACTAAATGTCAAATATTTCTGAAAAATAAAGTAATAATGAGAATAAATCTGAAAAAAAAATAAATGAAAATTAGTTGAAGTAAATTCTAAAAAAAGGATAAAGTAGGCCTTGAGAGAGTTTAAATTTTAACTTAAAAATACAATAAATTTCTTTGAATTATTTTTAGTTAAAGATATAAAATACAAAAATAAAATACATATAATTTCAAAAATAAAAATTATTTCAAAAAAAAAAAATATAAAATTCGTAGAATTAAAAAGTTCTGAACCTTTTTTAATTTTTTAATAAAAATAATTATTTAAATATATCAAGAGCTTAAGGTGTGCCAAAATATATTAGGAAATTTAATTTTAAAAATACGTAAAATATGCCATTTTCCCCTCTATTTAATATTTTTATGATGCTTGACGTAAAATCTTTTTAATGATTTTGTTTTTAATTTTTTTCTTAAAATTTTCTCAAAATTTATTGGATAAAAAATTATGTCTTTTGTGGGCGATGCCCAAAAATGGCATAAATCCCCCTCTTTGTTTTTTTTCGCTCATTTATTCTTTAAAACCCAAAAAGAATCATTACAATATGTGTTCCATTAGAAAATGTCCCTGGAGTAATGCTGATGATGCCAAAGACGTTGGATGGATGATGAGAAGCTGGCATGAAAAAAAATTTTTTTTTCAAAGAAAAAATAAAGGAATGACGGCTTGGATGATGTGTGTGGGGGTGGAGTTGTTTAGTCTCTTCCAGTCTTTTTCTGCTTTTCAATTTTTTGTCCTAAAACAGATGTGCTGATGTCAACATTAAAAAGAATAAAGGATGAAGAATGAGGGTTATATTAGGCTATTTGGGGGCATTGGAATAAAAACAGTGGCCATAGAGTGAATTAAAAAAGGA